AGCGCTTTGAGTGCCTAGAAAAGCGCTATATAAATGTAATTAATTATTATTATTATTATATATTAATTGATTTTAAATTTAAATTAATAAGTTTAAAAATATGCTGACATTAATACTAACAATAATTTATTATTATTATTATTATTATTATTATTATTATTATTATTATTATTATTATTATTATTATTATTATTATTATTATATACTAACAATAATTTATTATTATTATTATTATTATTATTATTATTATTATTAAAAACAACAGTGTGAACAACAGAAAAATTGCTATTACATTTGTTTGATCATCATTCAGTCTTAGGTGGTGGTACTAGTATCTACCCGTTTTTAAATGAAATAATACACCGGACATTTGCAAGTAGTTTTTGTGCAACTTTTGGACCCTGTATGGTACATTTATCCCACACAAAAGCAAGAACGTCATACGGCTTCAAAACAACACATGTGTGTCTGTTGTGTGTCTCGGGGTCGTCTCATAAAACTGTTGCGTCCCGCCACAGGCTGTGATTTCAGACAGATTTCTGCCCCGCTGTGTTGCGTGACTTCCTCCAGCACGCAGGAACGGTACAGTAAACCTCAGTCTATAATTACGCGCATTCCTGTCTTAACCTTCAACTCCGGCCGACCCGCCCGCCTCACCCTCAGAACAATCGGCCCGTTTAGAGGGGCCTCTCGCTGCAATAGAGCCTCCGTCAGGCGTGGAGAATCTCCCGTGAGGCCTGCGCTGGGACGACCGTCTTTTTGTCTGCTTGTGTGTCAAACTGTGTGCGTCTCCACTTGGGCATATTGATGCATATTCTTCAGTGTCAGTGTGTTTGTTTTCTTGCATTATGTGCACATAAAAATTTTCTGCAGGGTATTTGTTGTCAGAGTTGCATTAACTTTGCGGTTTTACCAACAGAAAAGCACACAAAAGTAGCCTACCAGGACAATGTACAATGATAATGAGAAAATTTCTGGAAAAAATAAATTAAATTTTACTGGAAAATTTTTCCAGTAAAAATATCTGAACATCAAGTCTAAACTTGTTATATATTATATAAAGCAAGTTTATATACTTAATATATATACTGTAATTTTATATACTAATTATTATTAGTGTAGAAAATATTGTTATTATTTTATATTATTATATATAAATTATTTTGATAATTTAAAAAAAAATTATCGTAAGTATTATCATTATATTTATTAATTTGTTCATAAAGTTCATAAAATAAAATAATTATGCTGACAATAATAATAATAAAATTATTTCTACTACTACTACTACTATAAATTAGATATTAAAAATATCTAAACATCAAGTCTAAACTTATAAAAACATAAGTCTAAACTGAACATAAAGTCTTAAATGTAATTTTTATTTATCAAATTATTTAAACAGAACTTAGAACTTGATTAACAATGCAAATGATGTCAGGTGATTAACTAAGCTAAGTTAACTAAGTTAAAACCAGCCTGCTGAACAGGTTCTGTGTACATTGAAATTCTTGCCTTTAGCCTGCTTTAACATTCTTTAAGTACTTTTATTGTAAATAACATAATTTGTTAAGGCTAAGAGCTGCAAAGCTTATTGTATAGATCTCTTTGTATGTTGTCCATTGATTTGTGTTTGTTTATTTTACTTGTCCCATCACATGTAGGCCACAGCTAAAGTCCTCAGAGGTTTTAGAGGGCAGATCGGGACAGGTAAACAGGATTAAACGGGTGTGCTTTGTGTGTCCTCAGCTATCCCTTCATGACACTATCTCAATATCTTGCTAGCACGCAGATTTGTTCAAATAGAAGCTAAAAATAATCATAGCTGGCCACTGTTCTGCCGCTTTCCTGGCCTTCACCAGATCTACCAGTTGTGGCAAGTTTAGTATAGGGTTTTATAGAGTTTGGCTGTGTTGAACAAAAAGTATTTGAGGTTTAGCCAACACCAACTGGGTTGGTGTCAGATTTAGGATTTTTGAGTTTATTTGTATCTCATTTGTTCTGCATGCTTAAAGTGTTTCATAATAAAACTGCGTACATTATTGCCAGTTTTGGGGAGTAACTAAATACATAATAAAATGATTTATATCATCTTATATGTGTGCAAAGATACCTCCTGTACTAGCTTCACTGCAGTAAGATGCTTTTTGTTAGTAGCTTACCATTTTCAAATTTGACTTGCTTTAAGCTTGGCCACTTTCAAAGTACTTTCCCCAGCACTGGTTATTCCATATATTCTCTCATTATATGAAATGTGTTGTTGATTTATAATCAAATGATTAAATCCATTGTTTGTTGTCTTTCTCTTACAGTTGTGGACGCTCAGGGTAAATCTTCTTCTCCGGTTCCTTGCCCGGTGGAGTTGCTCCCAGCAGCAAAAGCTGCCGTAAGGAGGAGGAAAGAGCGTCCACAGGTGCTGAATCTAACCGAGGCGGATATGGCAGGCGTTTTGCGGCCCAGAGCTGGCCGCCTGGACAGTCCCAGTAACCGTTATGCTGGGGACTGGAGTGGATGCCAGGAAACGTACCTCCAACCGAGCTGCCCAGAGGAGGCAGACTATGACGACGTTCCCAGCGAAGAGTCTCCAAACGCAGGACAGGAGGACTTATCAAAGGGTACTGGAGATGTAATCTCCGAACAAGAGTTGCCCGAGGTGGATGAGGGAGTGGAGAGGGTTGAGGAAATGCAGATAGAGGAGGAAGAGGAAGAGAGTGAGGAAGAGAATACAATAGTTTTGGACAAGCTACAAGTGGAGGAACCTGTTTCCACCAGACCCTGCGATCAGATCCTCCCTGATCACGAGGAGCACCAACCCAAAGAGCACACCTACCAGGCCTACATGAAGATTCAGGAGATTAGCCCAGTCCTAAGCAACAGGGTCAACCTGCGGGACCTGCAGGAGAGCATTGACACTCTAATTGGCAACCTGGAAAGGGAGCTCAACAAGAACAAGCTCAACATAGGGTACTGACTCTTTACCAGAACAGTTGAGATATGGTGGTGATTGCCTAGAGACATCAGTGCTACGGAACTTTCTTGCTCCCATGCACACTTGGGATGCATGTACAAGAAGACATTCCTCACTTCTGATTTGTTTTCATTTGTCTCCTGCTCTCCATGTTGTTGAGCTCATCATTGTTTTTCTTCTTATGAGAAGAACTCATTGAATCCTGAGGGGTGCACCAGATGCCTTCATTGTGTTAAGGTGGTGCTTACGATGGCAAGAGCTTTTTTACTTTCTACGGAGGTACAAAACATTATGATGAAAACCAATGCACTTATGGGGCCTGCTGTTAGGCACGGCCAGTTCAGGTACAGGTGTGAAGCCTTATGGTGGGAGAACTAGGTACTATAGATACATCCTTATACCATGGGTACTCAGTCCTGCTCATGGAGATCCAGCTTCCACTTTAGTTCCAACCCTGCAAACACCAGATAATCAAGGTCTTGGGGTTCCCTTAAAGAGGTAGATCACAGAAGCAGGATTGAGTACCCTACCCTAACCCCAGCCCTACGACCCTGAACACTACATCAGGGATCTTGAATGCAAATTACCTATTGAGGAGATGGTGTTAGACTCCCTAAACTCTGAATGCTATATCCAAACCCTAACCCTATCCTGACCCTAAACAAGGGGTGTCCCATCCTGCTTCTGGAAAGCCACCTTCATCTCTAGCTCTAATTAAACACACTTAATCCAGATAATCAAGGTCTTGGGATTCACTTAAAGAGGAGGTAGATCACCAAGAGCGGAATTGAGCACCCAACCCTGAACCCTATCAGGGTACTTGAACACAAATTACCTAGTGAGGTGGTGTTAGTTGGTAGTTTAAAATCCCTGCACCTTACTCCCTAAACTCTGAATGTTATATCTTAACCCTATCCTAAACCTAACACCCACACCCACTGTGTTCGATCCTGATCCTGGAAATCCGGCTTCCTGTAGTCTTCACCCTTTAAACACACATGAACAAGCTAAACAAGGTCTTGGGATTTGTTTAAAGAGGAAGGTAGATCACCAGGAGCGGGATTAAGCATCCCAACCCAACGACCCTGAACCTTATATCAGGGGTCTCAAACGCAAATTACCTAGTGAGGTGGTGTTTGCTTTGTAGTTTGAGATCCTTGCAACATACTCCCTAAACTCTGAATGTTATATCTTAAAGGATTAGATCACTCCTTAATTAAAATTTCTTGATAATTTGCTCACCCCCATGTCATCCAAGATGTTTATGTCTTTCTTTCTTCCGTCGAAAAGAAATTAAGGTTTTGGAGGAAAACTTTCCAGGATTTTTCTCCATATAATGGACTTCAATGGGGATCAGCGGGTTGAAGGTCCAAATTGCAGCTTTAGTGCAGCTTCAAATGGATCTACACGATCCTAGCCTAGGAATAAGAATAGGTCTTATCTAGCGAAACCATCAGTCATTTCCTAAAAAAAAAAAAAACATTTATATACTTTTTAACCACAAATGCTCATCTTGCACTAGCTCTGCGATGCGCATCTACAACTTCACGCGTTATGTAATAACGTTGGAAAGGTCACACGTGGCAAGTTCTTCGTATGTGTACTCCGGTTCGCCTACGTCACGTGTGACCTTTCCAACGTGTCTATGTAATGCATGAAGTCATGGATGCAGATCTAGTGCAAGACGAGCATTTGTGGGTTTTTTTTTTTTAGAAAATGAGCAATGGTTTCTCTAGATAAGACTCTTATTCCTTGGCTGGGATCGTGTAGAGCCCTATATACATTTATATAGAACATATATAAATGTTTTTTTGTTTTTTTTTAAATGACTGATGGTTTCGCTAGAGAAGACCCTTATTCCTAGGCTAGGATCGTGTAGAGCCCTTTGAAGCTGCACTGAAGCTGCAATTTGGACATTCAACCCATTGATCCCCATTGAAGTCCATTATATGGAGAAAAATCCTGGAACGTTTTCCTCAAAAACCTTAATTTCTTTTCGACTGAAGAAAGAAAGACATGAACATCTTGGGCGACATAGTGGTGAGTAAATTATCCAGAAATTTTTATTCTGGAGTGAACTAATCCTTTAACCCTATTCTAAACCTTACACTCTTACGAGGGGTTCGTTCCTGCTCCTGCAGATCCAGCTTCCTGTAACCTCCAAACACACTTAAACCAGCTAATCAATGTCTTGGGATTCGCTTAAAGAGGAGGGTAGATCACTAAGAGCGGAATTGAGCACCCCAACCCAACAACCCTAAACCCTACATCAGGGGTCTCGAACACAAATTACCCAGTGTTATCATGTAGTTTGAGATCCCTGCATCCTACTCCCTAACCTCTGAATGTTCAATCTTAACCCTATCCTAAACCTCACACCCTAACCGGGGGGGGGGCGGGTTGTTCCCGCTCCTGGAGTTACAGCTTAATGTAGTTTTCAGTTCCAACCCTCCAAACACCCTTGAACCAGCTAATTAAGGTCTTGAGCGTCACTTAAAGAGGAGGGTAGATCACCAAGAGCGGGATTAAGTACCCTAACCCAAACCCTATGACCCTGAACCCTACATCAGGGGTCTCGAATGCAAATGACCTAAACCTTAGACCCTTACCAGGGGAGTTCGTTCCTGCTTCTGCAGATCTAACTTCCTGTAACCTCCAAACACACTTAAACCAGCTAATCAAGAACTTGTGGTTCGCTTAAAGAGGAGGGTGGATCACTAGGAGTGGGATTGAGCACACTACTATAACCCCAACTCTACGACCCTGAACCCTGCATCAGGTGTCACGAACACAGATTACCTAGTGAGGTGTTGTTACCCAGTAGTTTGAGATCCCTGCACCTTACTCCCTAAACTCTGAATGTTATATCCTAACCCTAACCCTATCCTAACCCTTACACCCTAAACAAGGGATGTCTAGTCCTGTTCCTGGAAGGCCACCTTCAGCTCCAGCTCTAATCAAGGTCTTTAACTACTGTCTTTTAACTTTCAGGCAGATGTGTTGAAGATAAATTTTGCTTGAAGGTGGCTCTCCAAGAGCAGTATCGGACACCCAACACCCCTTCCATTCAGGGAGCGACTAACACTGCTGGTCTAGTTGAGGTTGTGGTCGTATTAGATTAAAACCATGACTGTTTGAGCTGTTTTCTTTGTAAAAATACTTCAGACGTCCCCCTAAACAAGCTATGGACAGCTGAAGATGAATATGCTTGTAGTAAGTAGTAAAATAATATTTAATAATAGTTAGGCAGAACTTTAAAAAATAAATAAAACAATAACTTAAAATTGCTGACGTTTATTTTTCTTTTGATGGACGCCCCTAAACACATACTGAGTGGGTAAAATTTCACTTTAAATTAAAAGAGCAATCTACCGCCTCCATGGTAACCATGGTAACATACAACACCATGACAACAGCCCCACCTTTTGATCATTTTATTTGTAAATGCATCATACTCAGAAGTCCAGGGATACAAACTCATCAGTATTTGACAGACACATGTATGTATGAATATATTTGGAATATGTATTTTCGATTACGTACACTTCAGTTTGTGCATATTTAAATGTTCGTCAGCTACCTTGTAGTATTTGGCCTGTAGATCAGCCTTAAATAAATATATATATATATATATATATATTGTTGGATCTATGTAATGGTATAACCCACAGTCACAGAACGTGATAATATTTAATAATAGTTAGGCAGAACTTTAAAAAATAAATAATAAAACAATAACTTAAAATTGCTGACGTTTATTTTTCTTTTGATGGACGCCCCTAAACACATACTGAGTGGGTAAAATTTCACTTTAAATTAAAAGAGCAATCTACCGCCTCCATGGTAACCATGGTAACATACAACACCATGACAACAGCCCCACCTTTTGATCATTTTATTTGTAAATGCATCATACTCAGAAGTCCAAGGATACAAACTCATCAGTATTTGACAGTAGAGTAGAGCTATTAAATGAATGTACACAGCAGCTCAAATCATTTAATGAGAAATGTTTATGTTTTGATTGCAGACTTTGATATCTTGACGACTTTGTATCTCAATTCTGACTTTTTGTTTCCGCCACAGCATAAAAAAAAGGTAATTGCAACTTTTTATATATTATGCAATTCTGACTTTTATTTTTCTCAAAATTCTGTTTACATGTCTGTTTACAACTCTGGCTTTTTTCTCAGAATTCTGAGTTTACATCCCATTATTCTGACTTTTCCGGCACGGGAAAAAAATAAAGAAGGTAATTGCAACTATTTATCTCACAATTCTGACTTTTTTTTTTTTTCTCAAAATTTCAAGTTTACATTGCACAATTCTGACTTTATATCTTAAAATTCTAATTTTTTCTCTCATTCCTGAGGTAAAGATATAAAAAAAAGATATATAAAGAAAGATATAGCCTCAGAATTCTGACTTTTTTTTTTTGTTTGTTTCCGACCATGGAATAAAAAAATAAAAAGGGTAATTTGTGATTTTTTTTTTTTCAAAGCTGCAAGTTTATATCTTGCATTTTCGAGGACAAAAGGCAGAATTGTGAGATATAAACTCAGAATTCTGACTTTTTGTTTCTTCCACCGAATTAAAAGAAATGAAAGTTAATTGTGACTTTTTCTGTCTTTTTTCTGCACAATTCTGACTTTTTAAACTCAGAATTTTGACTTTTTTCACAATTCTGACACTTTGTTTCTGCTACTGATCTTTTCTCTGATTGTGAGACATAAACTCAGAATTGCAAGAAAGAGTCAGAATTGTGAAATACCTTTAATTTTTTTTATCCCCTGGCAGAAACAGGCTTCCATCACACAGACATTGTTGAGATCTCTTCTGAAACCCATGATGAGACGCATGTGAGATTACCAGCCTGTTTTCCCTACATTCTTCTGCAGGTATGCTGTGTAAATGTCATTTTGTAGGTTGATTTCTCCATCAGCGCAGATGTGTGTCTTCAGCAACACCTGCTCTCTGTGATAAACATCCAGAGCGTCTGTCAGCGTTTGGCTGCAGTTCAGACGTGCGATTGGCCCAGTCACGTCCCGAAGACCCTTTGATGTGAAGCAAAGCCTTCTGATTGGCTGCCTGGAAGAGATGACCTTTGATTGGCCTGCGCTTCATAGAGGTGATCATGCAGGTGTCGTCACTGTACGTTTAACGTTTATAACGTAAAATCTGCAGACTTCTGTAAACGGCTGTAAAATTACACGTCTATCAGAGTATCAGACAGAGCTTAAAGGAGAAAAACACTTTATCATTGTTAAAACACAGCCAGATTTAGTCAAAACTGCCTTTGTTTGCCCAACAGGAACAGATTAAAGAAAGAAAACGTTGAGATAGACGTCTAATGCAGCTGGATAATGAGTTACAGAGGCAGAACAGAAGATGTGATTGTTTAGTTCATAAAGACGTGCGGCTTCATGCAACACATAAAATGCAAGATTAACTTGAGCTTGTGAATTAGTGTAATTGCACACAAATTAAGACAACTGCCAATATGTGCGGAATCTTAAAAAAACTGTATCCCATAAAGCAATCCGCTCAATATGACCGTCATTTTCAATGCAACGAATGAATTATAAATGATTTATCTTTCTTGACTCATTATCTGCAAAGAGTTCAAACATTTGTTTACAAAACTCGATTAAAAATGGAATTATTTCAGAGAGAAAAATGCCATTCATGCAATATGATGCAATACTAATATACTGCTTTTTGAAACATTTACTATGAAAGCCTGTTTCTGCCACAGAATAAAAATTGCAACTTTTTCTCTCACAATTTGGATATTTTTGTCACAATTCTGAGTCTGTATCTCGCAATTATGAACTTTATTCTCAGAATTGCAAGATTTAAACTCAGAATTGTGAGATATAAATGCAAAATTGTGAGATGTAAACTTGGACCGTCAGAATTGTGAATTTATATCAGCAAAGAATAAAAAAGGTAATTGTGACTTTTTATCTCACAATTCAGAAATCTTTCTCGCAAATCTCACAGTTTTCAGAATTACAAGATATAAACTCAGAATTCAAAGAAAAGTAAGAATTGTGAGATATAAATTCTCTCATCTCTCAATTCTGAGTTTATAATCTCACAATTATGAACTTTTTCTCAGAATTGCTAAAAAGTTTATATCTCAGAATTCTGAGTTTGAAGGAATTTCAGAATTTAATTTATGTATAAATTATGTAAAATCATTACGGAAATGATTGTATTTGGTTCAATGGAACAATTTATGCAAGAATGCAATTAATTTATAAAGAAATGTGCTCTTCTCGTGTTTCTTTAGTACTATGTTTTCAAATAGTAGACAATAAACAGCACTCGATTCAGTGGATAAATGAACTGCATTTTATAAGTTCTCCTGAAAGTCACTGTATGTCGATCAAAACTGCTTTACATGAACTCAGATTTGCAAGGTGTGACCTCAGAATTCTGAGTTTGCATCTTGCAGAATTGTTAGATATAAATGCAAACTTGTGAGATGTAAACTGTCAGAAGTGCAAATTATTGCTTGCAATTAGGACGTTTTACTCAGAACCGCGAGTTTATATTTCGCAATTCTGAGTTTAAATGAATTTCAGAATGAATTTATGTGTAAATTATGTCAAATCATATTACTGTATTTGGTTAAGTTGGGCAATTTATGCTGGAATGTAATTACGTTACACAGAAATTTGCTCTTTTCATGTTTCATCAGTACTATGTTTTTAAATGGTAGACAATAAACAGTACTTTTAGTAGATAAATAAAAATACTCTAGGGCCACCAAAACATTATTTTGCCTCATGCTTACCCATAGAAATGCATTTTATGAATTTGGCTTGAAAGCCATAATTAGCATTTTATAAAGCTCTCCTGAAAGTCACTGTATGTCGACCAAACCTGCTTTACATTAATTCTTGTCACGTACGCCGCTTAAAAAGGAAGTTTAGTATCTATTGAATCGATACGAGTCTGACTGAACTTGATCAATATTGTACATTCGTGGCTGAACGTGTGCGTATGAAAGCAGATAAGCTGTTATAGATTAGCTGTCGGAGGTGAAGCGGCTGAATTAAGAGCGTGTTTGATTACGGCACTGAGGGGAAACGAAGATGAACTCAGACCAGTAACCGGAGGAAGAATCAATCTTCAAGGTCAGAGCGCATGCAGCTTACAGGAACAAAACACACCATCTGCCCTGCTTAAAAAAATGGGTTTTTAATGTTTTACATTCAGAAAACTTATAAAGCTGTTTAGCAACAGTAGTCAAATACTAAAGGAATTCTAATGCTTTGCTAGCGGAATTCTCATCATAATTTGGAACCAATCAATAAGAAACAAGTGAAGTTTAAATCTGATTCTTATTTGATCTGATTTCAAATTGATATTAGATTAGGAATGTTGTTCCAAATGCAGTTTTAAAAATTCCATTTGCGTTCCATTTAGATTGTAAAGCAAGTTTACGCTGAATAACACTGAATGTTTTTACATAATTCTAATCAGAATGACTCGAGCTAGACCACCCCCCCACCCCAAGAACTGAACTACATTAACCAGTGTTAATGGCATGACGAGTTAAGGCAGAACTCTTGTTATTAGAACATCTGGTAAGTTCTAGATTGTGATGATGATGTTTCTGATGTGTTACAGGTCTGATCTGTCCTCCGTTTCGGTCAGGAGGCCCATGTTCTTCAAAATGACCTTTTCCAGAGCCAGAAACTGTTCGTATTCCTTCAGCGCTTCTGCCTCCAGTTCCTCTTCCTGTTTCAGTGGCATCACCGGCTCCTGATGAACAACAACAAATCACACAAGTAATCAAACACAAAAAGGCATTTCAAACTACCACTTTTGATATGGACCAAAGTCATCAGAGCATTCAGACAAGCAATCAAATCAAGTGTTGCACTGCAAAAATAAGTAAATAAATAAATTCTTACTCAGTATTTTTATCTTGTTTACCAGAATAATTTTTTTAACATTCTTAAATCAGGATTTTATTTTATTTTTATTTTATTTTTTTGACAGACAAAATGACGCAAGATTACGTTTTGTTTTCTGAAAAAAATATATCAAAAGAGTTCTAATAATAAAAATAATATCAATTAATTTAAATTTTCTGACCCCTTTTGCAGGTATTTTGCTTGTTTTATGCATAAGCTTACTTAATTTTGTTATATTTTTTTCAGAAAACAAGACTTAATATTGTATGTCATTTTGCATCACAAGTAAACGTATCTTGATTTTAAGAATGTTTAGATATTTGTATTGAGAAATTAGTCAAAAATACTGAGGAAGAACATCATTTTTACAGTGTATTACAAGTTTTGTATTTGTATTACAAGTTTTATGGAAATTATGTTTAAATTTGCAAATTATGCATTATATAATTAAATATGCACTCATTTGAATACATTTCCAGAAGATAAATCTGAACGCTGGATAAAGCCAGGTTCAAAATTCTTGTTTGACTTTGTTGACATATTAGAGTTAAAGATTTTTATAGAGAGAATTTTGGATATCTCTTTTTATCACTCCATAAATCAGAAAATACTGTCAACAGTGAGGAAAAATACATTTCCGCCTTGTTTTTAGGATAAAATGTTGTATAAATCAGTATGAATGATATATGAACAAACCCCTCAGTAAAAACCTTCAGAATATAGAGAGGAATAAAACTGCTAAGTTTGGTGTTTGTAAGTGCTGCTGAAGTGGAGGAAAATCTTTTAAAGTTATGGATTGTAATTGAAATCTACAGATAAAGTGCAATAAAATAAACACTTAAATGTGTATTTTGGATGTTTTCTTTTCACTAGTCTGAAACAACATGTTTATGAAAAGCCAATAGCCCAAAATCTCAAAATTGACCAGAGCCTGAAAAACACTGCTTTTGCCTGTAGCGTCTTGCCTTACATCAGAAACATGAAGTGTTTGTCTTGAAATCCCTCCAGAAAGCCTCCAGCATCATGTGTTCGCAGGCATCAGTGGGGTGTGAAACACAAACAGCTGTGTTTCAGACCCTCAGAGAGACAGATGGCAGCATACTTTCATATTTAGTAAATATATATTCAGCAAGCCTGAGCGGATCTGGAATCACTCAAACACACATTCCAGCTTGGTTTCATCTGTTTGCTGTCAGCTTAAACACACACACCCACACACACTCGCACACACGCACACACATACACACACACACACATACACACGCACTCGCACACGCACGCAACACGCACTCACACGCACACACACACACACACACATTTACTCTGCTATCTGAATGGGGACATGGCCTAGACTTCAATTGTTTTCATATACAGCTAGCTAAAATATAATATATTCAATTTCAGTCAACATTTTTTTATGTCAAGTAATAAAAATGGATTCTTTTATGGTTTTGGTTTTAGTTAACTATAATAACCCTGGTAAATGTTCCTTTAAACGAGTGTTTCCTCTCTCACCGTCTTCTTCCTCTTTTGTTCGGCTTCCATCTCTTTCTTTTCCTTCTCGTGTTTGATCTGACGTTTCTCTAAATACTCCAGCCGTTCCTCTTCCTTCTCGAAGTACTTCCTCACAATCTGCATCTGCAGGGAACATACAGCACTGCTATACATGTAGCTCTGTTCCAAACACTACCTAGACGACATTTTTAGGCATCACAATTACGCTCACAGCCTTATAAGATACTTCATTTCGACCATTAAATGAATAGTTCAGCCAGAAATTAACATTTGCTGAAAATCCTCATCCTCAGACCATCCAAGATCAGGATGAGTTTGTCTCTTCATCAGGTTTGGAGAAATGTAGCATTGCATCAGTGTCTCAGCAATGGATGCTCTGCAGTGAATGGGTGCCGTCAGAATGAGAGTCCAAACAGCTGATAAAAACATCACAATAATCCACAAGTAATCCACAGCACTCCAGTCCATCAGTTAACATCTGGAGAAGACTAAAGCTGAAACAAATCCAGCATTAAGACGTTTTTAACTCAAATACCATTGAGTCCATAATCCATAATAACGCTTCCTCCAGTGAAAAAGTGTTCTGGTCTGAATCAGGAGAGAAATCTGCACAGATCAAGCAGCGTTTAAACAGCTCTAAACAAACATGTGGCTGGATTTTGATGTGAGAGACAACAGCAGATGCACTTTTTCACTGGAGGAAGCGTTATTATGGATATTAAATTATGTGCTATTAAAAGTGGTAAAAAAAATTATTGCATGTTATATATTTCATCTTTTTACTACATTTTATTTTGATTAGTTTTTATTTTAAAACTATTCATTTATATATATATTTTTATTTATTTCAAATACAATCTCATATTGATATATTTTGATTGTTTTTATTTTATTTTGTATTTAAAATAAAATTTTTATTTTGTTTTATTTTTAGTTTGCGTTTTATTTTGATCGTTTATTTTAAAAGTATTTATTTTAATTTTTTTATTTCTTTCAATTACAATATTTCATATTGTTTCATTTTGTGTTTTATTTTGGTCGTTTTTATTTTAAAAGTATTTATTTCATTTTTTTTAAAATACAGTATTTCATATTGTTTTATTTTTTATGGTAAAATTATTTGTTTTAATTTATTAAAATAAACAAATAATATAATGAAAATAAAAAATAAAATATTTACTCTTTTTTTTACATTTTATTTTATTTATTTATTGTGATTGTTTTTATTTTAGAATAAGTTGTTTTAAATTAAATTTCATGATGATTTTTTTTTCTTTCCAGAGCTCCAGAACTTTGTGTTTGCAATGTGTATACGTTTATATACAGGGAAAACAGCCAAATAATTTGTGTGGAAACAAAAACTTTTTATTTATTTTTTTTATTGAACTTGGTGGTCAAAAAAAGAAATTCATAAATTCATATAAATTTTAACTTAAAATATTGATGATATGTTAAAGGCTCTATAAGAAGATCATTGCTAGTGTAATAATAATAACAATAATAATTTCATGAATATATAAACACCTCAATTAACAATCAGTTAAACTTCATCTTCATCGGCGGTTGGTGAAGAAGATGAAGATGAATTGTTTCAGGTGTTTATATAGAACACAGGTGTGTTTTTTCTTTGATTTCAGCTGATTTGAGTTTGTGCGCATGTGATTCTGCCGTGACCTCATCGTGACCCCTTCCTTCCAGCGGCTGAAGCTGCCAACCATCAGGATGATGTCCTTGAAAAACGGAGAGCGGCTGACAGTGTTGACCAGAGTGTCGTGTAAGAGGAACCGATGGATGGGTTTAGCACCTGACAGAAAACACACACTAAAAACTCAACTTATGCACAATACATTTCATAATCATATCAAAAATAAACCCAATAAGGTCTGAAACACACATTCTGCAAGTGATAGTGACCCAAAATTGATCATGTTGTTCTAAACCTGTATGACTGGCATTCTTCTGTGCAACATAAATAATGTTTGAGGAACGCTGTGGTCTAAACAGTATTGAACCCCATTGACTTTCACTGTATGGACAAAAACTCAAAATATCTTCTGTTATGTGTCACAGAAGAAAGTCAGTCATACAGGTTTGAAAGGACATGAGAATGATTAAATGATGACCGAATGATCAGTTTTGGGTGAACTATCCTTTTAATGGAAAACTACAGAGACTGCAATCCCAGAATGCACTGCGAGAAGATCAGCTCAAAAATCGAGTTGACTGAAATGTTGTTTATTAATATATTTCAATAATGAGATGCATTGATAAAAATAGTGCAATATAATTTAAAGTTTTACCTAATATTTGTATGCACTGTGTCTGATGAGCTAATAATTAAATTAAAAATTTTTTTTTTAATGGTTTAATTATTTTATTTTTCGTTATTTTAAATAAAATATTTAATATTTTTATTTTTAGTAATTGTTTTACTTGGTTGTTTTATGTTAAAACAATTTATTTTAACTTAAACTTACTTCAAATAAAATATTTAATCTTTTAATTAATTTTTATTTGGATTAATTTCATTTAATTATTTAATCATATTATTTATTTTGATTTATTTTAATATTTAATGTTTTAGTAAGTGGTATATTTTGTTTTTTTTATGTTAAAGCCATTTATTTTAATTTTAACTTATTTCAAATAAAACATTTCATCTTTTTAGTAATTGTTTTATTTTGATTGTTTTTATTTTAAAATTATTTATTTTAATTTTAATTTATTTCAAACAGTCCATCTTTTTTACTAACTGTTTTGTTTTGATTGCTTTTATTGTTGTATTATTTCTTATTATTTTTGTAATTAATTTTAATAAAAAGAAAAAAATGTACAAAAAAATATTAAATATTTTGTTTGTTGACCTGCATGTCAAGTGAACATTACTTGACATCAGAAAACCGTGAACGTGCAAATGTGTTGTTAAATAACACTCCAAAGAGAAAGGAAAACTTGAAATCGCATCATATGACCCCTTTAACTCCAACTGCTTTGACTAACAAAAACGTTTGGCAATCGTTGATGTAGATGGCAAACAGAAAGGCAACTTGCTACAGTTTGAAATAGTTTTAATGTTATTTTAGCAAAGCAAAGGTCTTGGGTTCGATTCCCAGGGAATGCATCGAATTGAAAAAAAAATTATAGTTTGAATGCAATGTATAAAAGCAACTGCCAAATGCTTATGTTAATATAACACTATATGTTACTAAGCAACAAGCAAATTGTATCAAAATTGTATCAGAAAGGATCAATGCAACAAGAGTTACAGAACAAAAATGAAAATGCGTGTCTGAAATCCTAGTAAGAGGCTTGATTAAGAGCTCAGTGTTTGTCTGAAGTCCTGTTTTATTGACTCATTACACACTCGTCAGCGTCTGAGATACACTCAGAATAATAATTATTGTGTGGTTTCCTCATTGATATGTTGTTAAATTGCAAATATATATATATATATATATATTGTTATATTGAAATACTAACTTAAAATCTCAGGGGGACTTATAAATATTTTAAAGGGGTCATATGATGCTGCTAAAAAGAATATTATGTTGTGTATTTGGTGTAATGAAATGTGTTTATGCGGTTTAAGG